GCTGTTCAACCTGGAAGCGACCTCGTTGAATCCGAGCTCGCTGATTTAAGTGCTCGTTGAATCCGGGTTACTTTTATTGATTTTAAAGAAGGAAAAAAACGGGGAATCTATCTCATCTCGTTGAATCCGAGTTCTCGTTGAATCCGAGCTCGTTAAATCCGGGTTTCACTGTAGTTTTTTAGGGTTTTTTTTTTATATTGTTTGTTTACAAGTATGTTCAGTTGTTTCGTGTATAATATGGGTTGTTACATGGACGTTTACTTATCTTTTATTTTTTTCTTTTCTGAGTTTTTAAAACAAGAATTTTATTTGTTTGGAAAGTTGTTTTTTTTAATTTACGATCTGAGTGTGACCCGGACCCCTAGAGTGTCGGTCACGGACTTTGGGCCGAAACATTTGCTTGAAGGGGCTCTTCTCTCACATTTATTCATTTTTAAATTTGTCTTTCATTTCTCACAAAATGAAGTAAAGGTGACTTGTAACCTTCATCTTTTTAGCATTTTTGAATTTCAATATGACTTTGATCTTTTTGCCATTATAGATTTCATATGTCATTCATATGTTGGGGGCTCCAGTGGCTAAGTGAGTAGTGAGTTTTGACTCAAGCAATGTCAAGTAAGTGTCGGTGACACGCGGATCAGATGGGTGGTCACTGGAGTGTGTCCTTGAGCAAGACACGACAACCCTAGCTCAAATTACAGGGCGCTGCACAGTGGCGACCGACAGTGGCATTGTTTGTAAACTGTTCTGTATTTGTGTAATAGTGTGTATTTATGTATGTATTTATGCATGTATGTATTTATGTATGTACGTATTTATAATTATGTATTTATGTATGTATGTTTGCCATAGTAAAATAAAGTGCCCTTCTGGGACAAATATAAGTGTAATTTATTTATTATTTATTTTTATTTATATAAATGCCATTTTGGTTCCGAATTCCCAAGCCCATAATGATCAAATTTTGTTATGACCTTTCCCCTAGCATGAACTCGAGTTTGAAGCTCATGGGATGGGAGACCGTGTATTCTTGATCTGGCCCATGGTGCTACGTCATAAGATAACACCTGACAGTGTGCTGTATACTCTAACCCCTGAAGGTACGTAACGTATGAGAGGTGAGGGTGGGGGGGGGGGGGGGGGGGGGGGGGGGGGGGGTGGATGCGCGACACTCGTACCATCATCATCATCATTGCCTTTCTAATCCAGGATCGTGACAAAGGCCACGAAAAACAGTTTGCACCCTTCCCTACCCTAGGCTAGCCGCTTGATGCTAATCCATGTCTTCCCACTTTTCTGTATAATGATACAGATATATAATATAAAGCATGCTCTATACTCTAACCGCTGAAGATACGTAACGTAAGGAACGAAGATGGGGGAGGGGAGTGTGAATGTACAATAAAATATTGAATGGTAATGACAGACTTATGGGACTGACAACTTTGGAGTGCATTGCAGACTCCAGTATGGCAGGATCGGGTGCCCCCGCCTCCTAAATGATTTAAATAGCTTAGATGAGGGGGTAAAAAGACCAATACTAAAAAGGGACTCCAATACCATACCCCCCCTAAAACACACACACACACACACACACACACACACACACACACACACACACACACACACACACACACACACACATTTGTGGTGAGACATGGAAGATAGTTTTGTTCCGTTCTGATGACGAGAGGGTTAATAATGACTTTTCCTGAGGAAACAGTTCGCTCTGGTGGACGAGGGGGTGACGAGGGCTCACACAGACGCTGTCTTACAGTCTTTGTTTGGTTTTTATCTAGAAAGAGTTTTACGGCACGATCAGCACAGATTAGTGTGTGTGTGTGTGTGTGTGTGTGTGTGTGTGTCTGTGTGTGTGTCTGTCTCTGTGTGTGTGTGTGTGTGTGTGTGTGAGGGGGGGTAGGTGTGTTTTTCTTTTGTTTGTTGTTCTTTTTTTGTGTGAGTGTTTCACGGCACTCGCAACTGCATAAGGTCATGTGAGCGCGAGGTCAGTTAGTAGGAAATGTTCCATTTTACCCGGTAGGCGGCCGAAGCCTACTTTATCCATTTCTATTTGAGTAAAGGGGAGCACAACGATACAATCACGGCCATTTTGTGCCAGGAAAAACAACAACTGTAAGACAGATTTCGTTTTAGTAGAGATTTTTACGGCGCTCGCAATTGCATACGGTCATATGAGCGTCAAGGGGTGGATGTCAACGGAGAAGTCCTTACGGAATCGGGCTTATCTGCTCACCTCTCAAGCCCCAACAGCATAAAGTCTGCTAAGACTATGAAGGCACCCCGGAAATAGCAGTTACAAGAGTGTGACAAACACACAAAAGAAGTAGAGAAAAAATAACGATAGTAAGGATGAGGAAAGAAAAATCAGCAGTTCCTCCTATGTTGTTCCGGCACAGTAGGAGCATGACATTGATAAATCAGCTCATTTACAATTCTACTGTGCGTAAGAGCATGTTTATATCCCCCCTTTGGGAACAGCCTAAAAAACGCTTCAGTCAGTAGCACTATCCTGGTCACTATCAGCGCAGATGGGTCATCTTTGGGGGTTTGTCTGTTTGAGTAAAGAGAAGCACAGCGACACAATAACTGTCATTTTGGGCCAAGAACATAAAAACGTAACACAGACGGACAGAAGCAACAGAGGGGAAGTAAAGAAGTAGGACCTACCAGTGGCGCCCTCCAACCACCCACACACACAGACAGAAGCAACAGAGGGGAAGTAAAGAAGTAG